TAATATTTGAAATATACAAATATTTCAATAAAACATTTCCGCAGCAGATCTGGTAAGATTGTCTAAATAAACACTGGCTGAAATAAGTATCCTGATATAGGCTTCGTTCTTATTTATTTATTTATATTTTATTTTTTCTTAATCTCCCATTTCCCTCTTCTTAATAGAAAGGTATTCTCCTGTCAGCTTTACCAGGTAGACTAGGCAGGAAACCTGGCCCGATAAACTAATTCTACTTCAGTGTAATGCAATATTAACAGAATCATGCAAGCCTGAAAGTACAATCAACGCTCCTGCTTTACAATCCAATAACTCAGGGAAGGTCCCTCCAGAGTCTCTTGCTCAGTCCATTATGCAGCTGTGGCCTATATACCCTGTTATCTGACTGTTCCTTAGGCAGTGTCTCTTCACTCAGTCTCTGAGGTAATTCCAAATATAATTACAAATTTCTCTTTGGTTCAACAAAAGATGAACCAAAAGATTTGTAAAAATGCATCCAACTTATTTAGTCTGAAACCCCATGCACATTTATCTGAAAGTAAGTCTTGTTGATGTAAATGTTCCAGATAGACACAATAAAATTGCATTCTCAATCATTAATTGTTCAATTGTTAAAAATAATAGGTTATCTTTAGAATCCCATGAAGGAAGAAAAGGCATTCAATAATGACCAGCTTCAATTTTTAAGGACATTTTCAGATTAATCGCAGGATTTATCAATTATCCTCTTTACAAAAATTGGGGTATGAAGTGTAGATTAACTCCATAATGGTATACCCCAGGCAATATTTTGTCTTAACAGAGCAGCTAAAAGTCGATACGCTTGGCAACCAAACTGGATATTGCATCCCTCATGTCAAAAACTACAGAGGCAGCATGATCGCATGACCTCTGTAGATGCCATACAATAAACAAAAAAATAAAAATAAAATAAAATTTACAAAAATTCAATAGAAAAAAAATGTACAAAATTGTGAAGTCAGATATAGAAACAAAGGACCTCAAACAGTAAGCATGATCTTCTTTTCAAATTGAATATTTCAGAATAGATTTCAGCAGTGCTTACCTAAAAAAAAATCAGGAAAAATAATAAAATAAAAGGAAAAGACACTTTAAAAAACAACAGCTGGAAAGATATCAGAAACATATGCAGGAAACAGAGCTGTTCTAATAAGTCCAAACCATCAGAAATTAGTCACAAACATTAATTGGAAAATAATAGCTAATAGAGAAATGTGAAATTAATTTTTCACTAGAAATGGCCCTTACCATGGAATTTCATGCTTGCGTTTCATACAATCAAAGAAATGTTTGACTTAAAGTGTTGTTTTAACTAATAGGCAATAGCAAGCTGTGTGATCTAATGCGAGACATCAACATCCCTCCTAAATGAAGGAATGTTCGCTGCGTCTATGTGATGTGGTTGGAGTATACTGAAAAGGATACTGTACCTTCCGGTTGACGTTACTTAATGATTATGTCTTTGCACTCTCTCTAATTTTTAATCCTTATGACATCTTTCAATTCAAAACATTTCTCATCTGCAGTATGAGTCAAATACTACTCAGAGAACAAAATCATGTGACATTCTTTCTGGAAACATCTACTGTACTTCTATTTCTTATTTCTTATTCAGATTGGAGGACTGAATGTATCAAGACTCTCTTAAATTTAAAAAGCAAAGCCAATGTCCTTAATGAATGTAAATATAAAAGGTGGGCTGGTGGGAAAACTACCTCAGTTCAAGGCCACCAAGCTCTGTGCCAAGTAGCCATTAATTCAAAACAGCAGAACAAAGTCTAAAGTTGAAAACTTTAGAACACTGAAAAAAAATTCTGACATCAATTTTGGGAAAGGCTTCATTCTTAATTGTAAAAATGATCTTAATCTCATTGAGCTGCACTGTGAGTTTTCTCCCAAGTCAAGCAAGAACTGAATTTACAGAAGAAATGTCAGGAGATCAATGATTTAATGTTAAGCTCAGATATGATGGCTGACACATTTGCCTTCTACCTGATCATTGCTTTGTCTACTTCAGTTTTGTTTACAGTGTCTTCATTGGCCTGCCACTTTCTCTCCAAGAATATTTCCCATCATTCTTCAAATGGAGTCTGAATTTGGAACCATTTAGTATAAAACACGTACTCTACACTAAGCTATGGCCCAAATATTGGCCAATCTGATTGGACATTTGGAAATTTTGGATTCTGTCTTCCTGACACTCCTCTTCCATGTGTGCAGGAATAAAAGGTACAACTGGGGAAATTTTCTGATTGCTGCTATATCCTCCATCAGAACTGTAAACTGATTGAAATAGAACATTACCAAACAAGGATGGACAGAACTGTATCATGTTTTTTCACTGCTTTTCTTCTGCATGTTAAAATCTACTCATGAGCATATATGTTTTAAAAATTCATACTTTAAAATTTACGTTCTTACACATTTCTAAGTAAAATGCTTTCAGAACACTAAATTTATTCTTTGATGAAGGAGAAACTTCTAATTTTGTACTTAGTACAGATCTTTGAATGTATCACAATATTTTG